TATAACTAAAATAAACTTTGAAAAATCGTGAATAAAAATGAGTTTTATTGATATCAGTAAAATAAAACAATAACATAAAGTTTCAGCAAATTAAAACAATCAATAATCTTATATTTATATGAATTACTACTCAGATAAATATACATCACTTTGGATAATATAATTGCAATCACGACTTTAAATATTTCGGTAGATAATTTAATATATGATAACATCAAATTACATTCACTTTATTACAATTATTCATTAATATAAGATAATTGTATAATTATCATAAGGAATTTTATTACTTTAGAAGCCCAGCAGAATTATTAATAGTTTTTAATAAATATTTGATTTTAGTTAATGATTTATATTTTATTTATAAAAATTTTTGGTGCATATAAACTGAGATAAGATATTGATATGCTCAAATAAATTTAATTAAAAAAACTGTTGACACAAGTCATTTATAAAGAATGCTAGATCATTATTTTTTAATTTACCAAACATTTGATCTCTTTCAGATCCTTTTTCAACACTCATTAATTTTTCATAACTTTCAAGTCGTTAGATATCTGCATACTTTTTTCTAGACAATGTAATTATGTATATTCATTATTAATTTAAAAATAGATTTTTTCATTGTTTAAAGTTTTATTGCTTTAGCATTTTGATCAAATATACGTTAAAAATTTAAAATCGAAGATTTAAAAAATAACGAGTGTATAATAAGAATATATATATACTTTCCAAATCCTCTAAACACAGTATTGCAAAGTATTATAGAATTTTTATGCGTTTGAGTATTGCTTTTAATGGCAGACAAACGAATTATGATAATTTATTCCGAAAGAATCAATTAAGTATTTTAATACGCTTCAATCGATCTTGAGCCAGGATTATTTGTAAGTATTTTTTGGCATTCCCCATCTAGTTGCAAAGAAAACACAATCTTGTTTCTAATATATTCCAAATTGAAAAACACTTGAATTATAGGTTTTCAGATCATTAACTTTTTGTACGTATTTTCACTTACCGATTTATTAGATTATACTCATATACATGCAAGCTTATACAAACATATAAAGAGACTTAGGTATTTGTAGTTGATTTTTGATTTATGAATTAATTGAATAGATTTTATAAAATATAGTGGAACATATTAGCATAGAAAACCACTTAAGTCTAAACAAGTAGATATATATATATATATATATATATATATATATATATATATCAACTAAAAGATTAGAAATTATTTTTCTTATCTTATATCATTTTCATGAAAACCAACATCTATAAATATTATAGGTTTTCAACAAAAATTCTAAAATAAAAAAAATCATATTATTATGTACAAAGATAGAGCTTTACCTACTATATTCCGGCTATAGTATGTAAGTATCTTATATTTGCCGTAGGCAAACATTCGTTTGTAACTATTAAACGTAGCAGATTGTTATATATGTCAGGATAAAAGTTTGTCTTTCTATCACATACAGAATATTGCGAATATCATAATTATTTTTTCTTTCCTTATACATACAAAATTAAACCCACGCTTGATTACATTCTTGTTCATTATACATAACATATATAACATATGTATCTGTATAGATTTATAGATTTTTAATTTTATTCATATTTATTAGTGATAAATAATTGCTGTTTATTTTCTTCGTTAAGTG